GATCTTAAGCTCACATCTGGAAAAGTGTTGTCTCTCAATGATGTCCTGTATGTGCCCGATGTTAGAGCAAATTTGATTTCTATGGCTCTACTAGGTAAGGCTGGGATTAAAGTGTCATTTGAATCTGATAAGATTGTAATAACAAAAAAGAATGTATTTATGGGAAAGGGCTATTGTAACCAAGGATTGTTTGCACTGAATGTTGTTGATGAAATGAATAAGAACGCATCCTCTTCTAATTATATAAATGTTTATATGATTGATTCATTTGATTTATGACATTTTAGGTTAGGTCCTGTTAATAAAGGTTATGTAACAAAGATGCAACATCTTGGATTAATTTCTAAAATTAAAGATAATGATTTAAATAAGTGTGAAGTATGTGTAGAAAATAAGCAAATTAAAAAAAATCTCATTTTTCTACTCAAAGAGAAACCGAGTTACTATCTTTGATATACATTGATTTAGGAGATTTAAAATAAATAATGACTAGAGGTGGTAAGAATTATTATATTATTTTTATTGATGATTTTTCAAGATATACCAAAGTGTATTTATTAAGAAATAAAGATGAAGCCTTTGCAAAACTTCTTTTATACAAAGCAAAGGTAGAAAATCAATTAAATAAAAAAATTAAAAGATTAAGGTCTAATAGAGGAGAGAAATATATTTTATTAAATAATTTTTGTGAAAAAGAAAGCATTATTCATGAAGTAACTCCTCCTTACTCGCCTAAGTCTAATGGTGTTGCAAGAAAAAAAATAAAACCTTACAAAAAATGATGAATGCTATACTTGTAAGTTCTTCTACACCAGATAATTTGTGGGGTGAAGCATTATTATTTGTTTATTTTTTACAAAATAGAATTCCTTATAAGAAGTTGAATAAAACCCTTTATGAGCTTTGGAAAGATTTTCCTCCAAATCTTAATTATTTAAAAGTGTGTGGGTGTCCTGCAAAAGTTTTATTACCTAACCCTAAAAAAAGAAAATTAGGTTCTAAAACCTCTTATTATATGTTTATTGATTATGCTGAACATAGTGTTGCTCGTAGATTTCTAGTTTTGAAAAGTGATATTTTAGATTACAATACTATTATAGAGACCAAAGATGCAAAGTTTTTTGAACATGTTTTTCTTTAAAAGAACATATTTTGCCTCAAAGAGGATAAAATTTTCTTTCTTTTTCTAAACAAATTTCAATAATGCTTTCAGTAAAGGTTTAAGAAGTAAAAGGAAAAGAAAGGAAAATACTTTTGGAGATGATTTTTATACTTATTTGGTACAGACTAAACCATAAAATTTTTATGAGGCAATTTCTTCTCCTAATGCTCATCTTTGGAAAGAAGCTATAAAAGCTAAAATTGATTCTCTTAATCAAAATAAAACTTGAGTTTTGGTAGATTTGCCTCCAGGTGCAAAACTTATTAGGTGTAAATGGGTTTTTAGAAAAAAAAAATATTTTTCTGATGATTCTATCGATAAATTCAAAGCAAGGCTAATTGCTAAAGGTTTTACACAAAATGAAAATGTTGATTATTTTGACACCTTTTCTTTGGTAATAAGAATTTCTTCTATAAGAATTTTTATTGCTTTGATTTTAGTTTACTAGTTATTTATTCATCAAATGGATGTTAAAACTGCATTTTTAAATGAAGATTTAGAAGAAGAGATATATATGGTGCAACTTGAAGGATGTGTAGTTTATGGCCAAGAAAATAAAGTTTGTAAACTAGTTAAATCTTTATATAGCTTGAACAAACTCCTAAATAATGGCATGAAAAATTAGATCATGTTTTAACAAGTGGTGGTTTTCCAACAGTTGAAGTGGAACAGTGTGTCTATACAAAATCTACAAATAATAATTGTGTGATTATCTGTCTTTATGTGGATGACATGCTTATTTTTTGTACAAGCATGGATATTGTTTTTGAAACTAAATGCTTTCTTGCATCAAAATTTCATATAAAAGATATGGGTGAAGCAAATTTATTTTGGGTGTTAAAATCATAAGGAAGGATGATGGTATTTTTCTTTCTCAAGAACATTATGTTGAAAAAATATTTAAAAAGTTTGGTCATTTTGATGAGTTTCCTTTGAGTACTCCTTATGATTCAAGTGTGCCTTTAGTTAAAAACAAAGGTGATCTGGTGGCTCAATCTAAGCATGCACAGATCATTGGGAGTCTGTTGCATTTGATGAATCTTACCAGGCTAAATATAGCATATGCTATATGTAGGTTGAGCAGATATACACGTTGCCCAAGCAATAAACATTGGATGGCTCTGGTAAGAGTCATGAATTATTTGAAAGGTAACATAAATTATAGTATATTTTATAGTGGATTTCCTATTGTATTAAAAGGGTACAATGATGGTAACTCGGTCTTAGACTCAGAAGAGACAAAATTCACTAGTGGGTATATGTTCACTCTTGGTGGTAGTGCAGTAACTAGGAGGTCAACCAAATAAAATATTATAACAAAATCCTTAAAGGATTTTGAATTTATTGCAATGAAGTTGGTTGGTACTAAAGCTGAGTGATTGAAAAACTTCTTAGCAAATATCCCTTTAGGTGAAAAACTAACACCATCAGTGTCTTTATATTATGATAGCCAATTAGCAATAGCTATGGCTAAAAATAAGACCTTTAATGGCAAGAGTAGGCATATTCGATTGAGACATAACATTATAAGGCAGCTGCTTAAAAATGGGGTCATCTTTATCGATTATGTAAGATTAGAAGTGAATCTAGCAGATCCGTTGACTAAACCTTTAAGGAAGAAACAAATTGTAGAAACATTGAGGGGAATGAGACTCAAGCCAGTTTGAAATTAACAGTGATGGTAACCTAATATTTGTAATTGGTGATCCCATGAAGAAGGTTCATATAGGTAAGAACAAGTCATTTGTTAGTTCTGCTACTACTAAAATTATTTTGTCCCTCTTCCTATGGTGTATGAGAAAGTGCTAGAATGCATTGCTAGTGAGGTAGAGCAAAGCTCTTAATGATGTCATATTCCTTATGGAAGGTGTATTAATTGTAGATACATTTGATGAAATCACTTAGGTAAATGTGGAGTGAGGCTGCTCCTATGAGATTGTGGTGAAATCTTTAGAGCATTTATTGAAATACCAAGCGCGTGCAAGGCCATCAAAGCGCAAAACTGCAGTTAACAGTAGAAATTGTGGGGGTATAATCCAACTAATAAGGCCTCTAGTATACATCTAAGAGTTGTTGGTTTATAAAAGCATGCTTCATTGACTTCACTATATGCTAAGCAATATTCGTCTAGGTCTGGTTTATAGTCTAAAAGACACCAGATACGATATGATTATACTTATAATTATAACTCAGATGATAATATTCTTTTGACACATGTAGGGGATTGTTATAATTATTGTGTAAGTGTGTCAAAAAATAAGTTTCCATTGCCCACATGAGAGGAGATGTCTTAGCATTTTTTTGTGTGAAATTATTTTTGACAAAAATTAAAAATATTTATTATAGAGGAGCTTTACCTAAAATCCTTATTTATCTTTTGCAATTTTTGAATTTGAATTACAAACCATGGCTTTACTTGGTATTAATTGCACCTTATATTTCTTAATGATTGAAACTGATTTGTTTTCATTGAATTTTCAAAAGGCCGCTTTATCCCTTTTTAATATTTTAATGGTCAAATGAAGCCTTCTCCTCCAACATCCAGAAATGCCATTCATCAATGATATTTTATTGTGTTAAATGGTGGAATAAAATAATAGAGTGATGATAATTTATTTACTTAATAATAGTGCCGGTGGAAAGATATTTTATTGTGAAGTGATGGTGATTTATTTTCTTAGCAACGATGCTTCAAATGGTTTTGTTCAATATGTGAGTATAATGACGTCATATAATCCATATAATTAACCTCACCTAATGGGATAAGGCTCGTTGTTGTTGTTGTTGTTGTTGTTGTTGTTGTTGTTGTTGTGGCTATATAAATAGCAAAGTGTGCACATGAGATTATTGCTAAGCTTTTGAGTTTTTGAGCATCTCTCTCTTCCTCTCTTGTGTATTTCTTCCTGAGTTTAATTTTTCCTCTAAATTGTTTCTACTGTTCTATCACCCTGTTCAATTTGACAAGAGGATTCTGCTTAATTCTAGGGAGCTCCGACAACTGTGTTAGAATTGCTCTTAAGGATAGTGTCCTTAGATATGACTCGGAACAAATTCTACACTGCTGCCACCTACATGAACATGATCCCGTAGTACAAGATATCAGATACTTTGTCATGATGAATGAAAACCAATGGAGTATCATGAGACATCAGAAGCAAAATTCTTTTGTAAAATATGATGACCGCCTAGCTGTACTGAAAATGATCCTATTCTTCTATTACCAACAAAACCCACCACGGAAACAGCATGACAAATTAATAAAACAATAACTTACCAACAATGTTACACTTCATTCAAGAGCATTGGACAGACCGATGCTTCTTAGATTCCAACAATACTATATTAAAATAGAACCTACAATGCATGAAAGCAACAGGTGAATATAAAAAATAATATAATATTCTTGAAAAAGGTTCATAAATCTCCATCTTCTTCTTCATACAGTCATAACCTCACATTGAATATCCGAATATACTGCTATCAATCTCTTGTGCAGTTCTTATTGGTTCATCACTAAACTTTTACTTCTTTTTCTTCACTGTTATGTTTGTACGTAACTATGCATGCATGCATGGATGTGTATGTATCTTATTTTAGGCTCTCTTTGATATATTTTTTTTCCCCATTGGTACTGATTACTTCTCATTTTCTTCATGTATAGATCATTTATCAGAAACACAGAGAAACTTGATGGGAAGGCATATGGAAGTGAAAGAAAAAAGTCATTAGGATTGAATAACTAATCCTCATTCATTTCAATTTTAAACAAGCATTTGAGGAGTCAATATCGAAGAAAAATTTGAGAGGAATAATTCAAACCATATTTTAAAAAAAAAAAATGTCTTTAGAGACTCAGAGAGTAGTGGTGATCCAGGATGCTTCAAGAGATGTGAGTAGAAGTCCAATAAAAAAAATTCTGAAACAGCTTTCTCTAAAACCTGGAGATGAGCTCATAATTCTTGCTACATTTGGTATGTCTCATAGCACTGAGTATTTTTTTTTCCAAAAAAGGAAATGAGTAATAATATAGGACTGTTCTGCTGCGGAGCACCACACAGCACTATGTTCCACACTGCACAGCAGACGTTAGGAACCTATAATAATATAGTTATTCCACAAACCACAACAGAAGAATTTCTATTCAAATCTTAAAATGTAAATACAAGTTAAATATTAAGTTTCTTTTAAAGAAAGAATAAATTATTATTTAATAGTATTAGAGTCATCTCCATTATAAATATCATTTGAATATTAAGCAGTATCCATCACTTATTATTACTATCTGATACTGCTGGCTTTCCAAGTTCTAAGTCCTCGTTGTTTTCTTTATGCTGATCAGGAAACAACATCGTCAAGATGGATTCAACATCATTTATTGCAACAGATCAGAAAATTCTTCAAGAGGATCTTGGCAAGATAAAGGAAGAATATCACAAGAGACCACAAGTCAAGAAACTTTCTGAGTATTGTGAAGCAAAAAATGTGAGTTCAGTCTAATATGACTTCATAACCACCAATTAACCCTATGAAAAATCACACCATTTATTAGAGTATTTATTTGACGCTTCCAAATAGGTCTATAGATTGCAAAGGAGTTTCATAAACTTCACAAGAGTGAAGAAAACGATACAAACTAGAATTAGATCTATTTGAAATATATAGCTTAAAATGATTAGTTCATTTTATACCTGTAAGCATGACAATATTCTCACTAAGAAAAGATTAAAGGGATTACAAAGGACAAGGCTTTCATAAGAACATCAATGTCTGCTGTGCGACACAGTTCTATGAACCAGACATGTATCACACTCCATTAAATTTCTGAAGTGTTTTGTTTCAAATTATCCATTGTAAACATGAAACCCAGACATTTTTTACCACTCAGCTCCACAAGTTATGTTTTATTAATCTGATGTCAAAACATAAAATCTGCATTTTTAGACAAATAATTTGGCATCCAATACTACTAATGAATCCAGGTTCAAGACAGGATAGTTCCCAATTGGGGGGAAGTAGTTTTTTTATCCACAATGCTTGAATTCAAGACCTAACTTAAAGGATATTGAATCCCTAACCAGTCTTTTTTTCTTTTTTTTTTCCCGGTTACTGACTCTAATTGGTTGTCTTTTGCTGTTATAGCTGATGGAATCACTCTTGGCTATGGTACATTTCAGATTGCATTCCAGATAGAAGCGCTTGCATACCCTTCTCAAGAGGTTACTTGCAATGCTGTCAATAAATTTAGGGCAACATGCTTGATACTTGATAGGTCAGCTTCCATATATTTTCCTTAGCCTGCAACTTGCTTGCAAGAGAAAGCAAGGCCAATCAACTACTTGTTTAGATAGATTTGCATAAGTAGTGAAAGTTCGTTTACAAAATTTTGAGAAATCCGACATATACAAGAAAAGAATAATGTTTGCATTTGTTGGAATAAGGTTCATAGGCCTCCAATTAGTAGGCTATGCTTTTGAGTTTAAGGTGATGTTTGACATGATATCAAAGTTTCTCTGAATAACTGGTCTAGATTTTGGTCTTTCGTATCTTGTTCCCTTAACTTTTCTGTGAACTATCATTGCCTCATTCATAATCATAATATTGGCACTGACATATCAAGCTCAAGCAAATTACATCTAACTTTATGATGCTGTGAACTACATAACTGAAGACTACTTCTTGCTGATAAAGACTGTCCTCATGTTTGGGAAAATGTCGTATTAATGCAGACAAATGAACAAAGATAAGAGGCACTTCATGGACAATCTCGCTTGCGGTATTTATAGGATAAGGAATCGCTATAGGACTCAGAAGCTAAGAAACCCAAAACTAACAGAGAGCAGCAAATCATTTGCTGAAAGATCAGATCATGTGGGAAATATGGAAGTGATCCCAGGAATCTCAGAGGAACAACTTTCTCATAAGAGTAAGGATATTCTTTTGCCATAATATTACTGCCTATATAATATCCAAGTATATATACCACTGTTAGAGATTACGATTGTTAGATTTCTTATATTAAACATATTTAAGGATAGTATATCTCACCAAAATAGTCTAAATCATTTGGTTAGATACTTCCTAAGCTTATATATCCATGATTTATCTTCTAATCTTTAGATATGGGACTTCTTTTTATACTCTAATAATGATAGAAATATTTTTTAGTGATGAACTTAAAGACAGTTTTTGAATTCAATTTGGTCATAATACAATCCCTAACCCCCCCAAACCAAAAAAAAAAAAAAAATTCTTATATGATTTCTTATGTCGAAGTAAAAAAAGCATTTTAAGTCCGATTGTTCCATTGAGTCAGTGACTCCAAATGAAAGGCTTGGAATAACTTGTTAAGAAAAGCTATGATTTCGTCCAATCTGCATACATTATGCGGTGTATAACGAAGCATCGATCTATGATTTTTTTACAAATACACAGTACATTGAGATAAACTATGTTGAATCAAACAGGAACTAGATCATCATCAAGTGAGCATCTCATGGAAACTGGAGTCTCAAGTCTTCAAATTTCCAAAGCCTTGATTTCCAGTCATTCTCTGAAGTCCCAAGAGGAACAAAATTTTCCAAAGACTAAACACCAAACATCGGGGAAACATTCAGTATTTTACATTTCTGAGAGTAAAGAGATAGGACAAACAGAAGTACCTCAACTTGAGATGAAAGAGGAGTTTGCAAACCAACTTTGTTCAGTATGCAAGAACAAAAGACCAGAAGCTGGATGGATGAGAGACTTCAGTTACTCTGAGCTTTACAAAGCCACAAAGGGATTTTCCCAGAAGAATTTTCTATCAGAAGGTGGATTTGGATCAGTATATAAAGGGCAGTTAGATGGAATGAAAATTGCTGTTAAGCAGCACAAATGTGCTAGCCTTCAAGGGGAGAAGGAGTTTAAGACAGAAGTGAATCTATTAAGCAAAGCAAGACATGAGAATGTAGTCATGCTGTTGGGGTCATGCTCAGAAGGAAACAACAGGCTTCTTGTTTATGAATACGTATGCAATGGTTCGCTGGATCAGCATCTATCTCGTAAGATTAATAGTCTTGAGTTTAGAGTGACCTGTCATTTGGTACACCAAAGATGCCGATTCCAGAAGTTTAGTCTTCAAAAGATAATTACAGCAGATCAAACTAAACCTTTTCAATAGTACACCAATTAGATATGAAAAAGGGTTATTTACCAGCAATATTGTCCATGTGAATCAACATTCTACAACGTGGAATATTAGCAGTTTATTTGGAAAATTAATTGGAGAAAAATAAAATTTAAAATTCCATGTTTTGTTTCTAACCTTCAAAATGTGTTTCTAACCATTCATTTCAGAACATTGTGGTCAACTTTGTTGACATGAGGTCATCAGAACTCATGACAAGGTTTGTTGTAGTCTTTGAGAGTTTTTCAACTGACTTGATGGTAATTATCTTTCAAAAAATAATCGAATAAGCATCTTTCAAGGACCAGAATGATAGTTTGCCATTAAATTGAAAGAACTACGGATATATTTTTATATGCTCTTGATATGGTTTATTAAAGATTAACTTCTGCCAAATCGATGCAGAACACTGTCGAGCTCTGCTAAGATGGGAAGATAGGATTAAAGTAGCTATTGGATCTGCAAAAGGATTGCTATACTTGCATGAGAATAATATCATACACAGGGATATGAGAACAAATAATATCCTCATAACGCATGATCATCAACCATTGGTAAGAAAGCATGCATGTATTATTAGTGAGATATTGGTAGCAAAACATTGGAACATATGTGATAGTACACATTATTAACATCACTTCTTGTGATGAAGAAAATGAAACAGAAAACCTAAAGGATAGAGGCTAATAACCACTCTAAGCTCATTGAGTTATTTCTTCACCAATAATCAGTTTACTTGTTTTCTTTGTTTCTTAATGCTTATACTAGCTCGGAGACTTTGGTTTGGCAAGAAGTCAACATCAAGACTCAATCCATTCGACAGAGGTTGTTGGGACTTTAGGATATTTGGCTCCAGAATATGCAGAATATGGCAAAGTGTCAACTAAGACAGATGTCTACTCATTTGGGGTAATCCTATTGCAGCTAATCACTGGAATGAGGACTACAGACCAAAGACTTGAAGGCAGAAGTCTTGTGGGATGGGTAAACAACATTAATGCCATGACGTTTTATTAATTCATATATATTTAATTTTTTTGGTACAAAGTGAGCTCATAAAAACTTTCACACTTTCTGTCTACTTGTTTTCTCTGCATTTATTTGCATCTAGAGAGGATAAAATCAAAAGACCAAGAGCGAAGCCCGATCCATACGATTCATTTCTGCAAAACTATGATCTATGAGCACATCCACACATGCTACTTAAGAGTAATAGTTTTTATGGCTCATACCACTGTATAACACTCCAAAAAGTAAAAGGCCAATAGAAAGACCAGGATTTTCCCCTTAAATACTCTCATGTTATCTCATGTTAATTCCTTGGATTCTGTCTAAATGATCTCATCATTGTTCTTGTAGGCAAGACCACTGTTAAGAGAGAGGAATTATCCAGATCTAATCGACGAAAGAATAATGAATTCTCATGATTTCCATCAACTATTCTGGATGGTTCGAGTTGCAGAGAAATGTCTAAGCAGGGACCCTCACAAGAGATTAAACATGGGTGAGGTAGGCCTTCATTAATCGTTAAACCACTGTACCAAAAGAATGAAATGCAGGCTATTACCAAAGGCAATATTTTCAAATTATTACTAAGAAGGGGGGCATTGCTTCTATGTTCACAACCTTACAATTAGATCCATTTTCATATATTTAGTGGACAGGAATTCAAGACCAGATGGATAGTGGCTGAAAATTAGCAAGAAAATTATATAATAAACAGCAGTTCTCTGATTAAATTTATTTCAAGTTATCTAAATAGTACCTATTATTATAATTTATACGGAAAATATAACTTTTAGTCCTTGAAATTTTCTAAAGTTATTGATTCGGTTTCCAAACTTTACCTTAGAACAACTCATTCACTATAGTTTCTTAACTAAGAACAACCCAATCCTTAATATTTCTTGATTCAATACAACCCAATTTTCATAATTCATCAACTCAATAAATCACAAGGATTGAATTATATTGAGTGAAAATTGAAAGAATAAATCAATAATTAAAAGAAAGTTTAAGGACTAAAAGTTATATTATTCCTAATTTATAAGTTAATGTCAAATGATGTAAGTATCATACATGATCTAGAAATCTAGGCATTACTAACAACCATACAAGTATAAAATCACAACGATCCCAGAAACAAAGAAATTGTCATAATTACCAAACCTTTGATGCGCTGAATGCTTGGTGGGATTAATGTCATTACAGGTGGTTGATGCTTTAACTCTCATAGCAGAGGGCAAGATATGTGGGATCATAAGGAGAGATTATTCTTACTCCTATGTGAGGTCAGATTCATTCTACAGCACATCAGACGCAGGTGAAGAATCATCAGAAGAAGAAATAATGAATAATGCAGAAGATGAGTTAGAACATGCAATTACAGATTCCAGTAGCAACATGAGGCAGATGATTTCAGGGATCCCTAACCCTCCATCTCCTCCTCCAATGGATTCCACTTCCTTTAGCAGCTCAAGCACTGTGGGAGTCCACGATGACCAATCAACGATGGACAGCCAAGAGCAGAATGAAAGGGATGGAATAATTTCAAGGGACAATATCGCAGAGATGGAGGAGAGGAGCAAGGAAGAATGACACTTAGTGCATGAGATTCAATTAATCACCGTTAATTGCCCCACAAAATTTTATGAAATAAAGAGTTGGAATTCACCTCCTCCCATGGCTTGTGTTATAAGAAAGGGAAAATTAAGATTTTGGTCCTTCTAGTTTTACTCAAACTTGGTCTTGGTCCCTATAGTTTAAATTTTTAGAAATAAATCCTTGAAGTTTCAAACTGTTTAGGCCGTTTGTCCCTCCTATCCAACTCCTTTGAAATTGCTTAATGGAGCTGTTAAGTGGTAGGGGGCTATGATAGAGCAAACACACAATCAGTGACACGGTGGGCACAATGGCATAAATAAAACCCACACTAGTAGAGATGGGAAACCCATGGAAAATACCAAATGCACAGCATAGCCCTTGCAAATCCAAAATGAAAACACACAAGTTCTGAAGTAGACTGGAATTCGCAAAGGAGACCTTCACCTTAGGTTTGCAGGTTATCATTAGCAAAGGATAAAAAAGGATGAAGGAAAAGATGCAGGATGGTAGCGAAGAGTGATGTAGCAAAGATTGGCAAAGGAGAAGACGCATGATAACCTTCATCTGACGTTTGAAGGTTCTCACTGGAATGTCTTTAGATAGTTCACTTCACTGTTCCATTCTTATTATTCTTCTATTCTTTCTTGATATTATTTTTCTCTTTTGTTTAAATTAATCAAATTTTTCTACTTTCATATTCTCTCCGCAGACTTAAGACTTGTAGCTCTTAAACTAAATTTCATGGATGTTGCGCTAGTGATTACTGGCATATAAATTTTCCCCAAGCAGAAAATTTTATGCTGTTCTGCCAATTAATGGATTATTTCATGGATGATGACTATATGCTGATTTAGTTAACATGAAAGAAAGATACTCATTATAAAACAAAGCAACGTTCACTACTCAATGTAGCCAAGTTTATATGGTCAAGAGATATTTCCCTGCACATGTGATGAATCTGTAGCTTCTTTTGCTGCTATTATATGATTACTTCGTTTGTCTTCGTTTTTTGTCTCAAAAGCAGAGTTAAATAGAGAGACACATGCTATTTTAAAATAATTAATGATAGACTTCAATCTTCATTTTCACAATCATGAGTGCCATAAACAAGAGAGTCAAGCTATTATAAAATTCCTAATGATACTTGAGATGAACACAATTGCTTTTACATTGAAAAGATGTGAGCTGTGAATTGTAATGGCGTTTTCATACATATTACTCAGTGATTGAATGTTATCCAATGATGACAAGAAACAATAATTCAATACCTTGATATAATCTAATCGTGAACCCATATGATGCTACTGACATACATGACAAACGTGAATCACAAAGAAACCAAATAAACACTACAACAACAACAACAACAAGCCTTTATCCCACTAGGTGGGGTCGGCTACATGGATTGCAAGACGCCATTGTACTCTATCATTTATTAAGCTTTTAGAAATATTATTAATTAAGAGATCACGTTCAACAACTTCCAAGAGTGTTCTCTTAGGCCTTCCTCTACCTCTCTTAATCGGACTCAAAATTATATGTTCCACTCTTCTCACTGGTGCCTCCCTTGGTCTTCTTTGTACATGCCCAAACCATCTCAACCGATTTTCTACCATTTTTTCCTCAATAGGTGCCACCCTCACTTTTTCACGTATGTGCTCATTTCGAATTTTATCTTTACGTGTATGTCCGCACATCCATCGTAACATTCTCATCTCTGCTACTCCAACTTTATGCTCTTGCTGTCCCGTTAGAGCCCAGCATTCACTACTATATAACATTGCCGGTCTGATAGCAGTACGATAAAACTTTCCTTTAAGTTTATTAGGCACCTTACGGTCACAAATAACTCCTTTAGCTTTTCTCCAATTAAACCACCCAGCTTGAATTCTATGTGAAATATCTCCACTGATTTCACCATCATTTTGAATAATGGCTCCCAAATATCTAAACTTTTCCACTTGAGGTATAATTTGATCTCCCAATTTCACTTCCAAATTATTTTCGAATAGTCCTTTACCAAATTTACAATATAAATATTCCGTCTTACTTCTACTCAGACGAAAACCTTTCGACTCCAATGTCCTCCTCCATAACTCAAGTTTGCAATTAACCTCTTCTCTTGTCTCTGCTATAAGAACTATATCATCCGCGAAGAGCATACATTTCGGGATTTCCTCTTGAATATGTTCCGTCAAAACATTTAAAATCAAGTTGAACAAATAAGGACTCAGAGATGATCCCTGATGTAGTCCAATCTTTATAGGAAAATCCTTTGTTTGACCACTAGGCGTTCTTATACTAGTTTTTACCCCCTCATACATATCTTGTATGGCTTTAATATAAGCAAGCCGTACTCCCTTTTTCTCCAACGCTTTCCAAAGCACTTCTCTTGGTATACGGTCATAAGTTTTTTCCAAATCAATAAAAACCATGTGTAGATCTTTATCTTTACAACGATACTTTTCCATTAATCCCCTTAGTAGATAAATTGCCTCTGTAGTTGATCTACCTGGCATAAAACCAAATTGATTCTCAGAAATACTTGTCTCCAATCTCAACCTGTGCTCAATTACTTTCTCCCACAATTTCATTGTGTGGCTCATGAGTTTAATCCCTCTATAGTTAGTACAATTCTGAATATCTCCTTTATTTTTATAAATAGGAATTAATGTACTTCTCCTTCACTCATCAGGCATTTTCTTGGACTGTAAAATCACATTAAATAACTTAGTTAACCATCTCACCCCTTCTTCACCTAAACATTTCCATGCTTCGATAGATATACAATCAGGTCCGTTAGCTCTACCATTTGCCATTTTCTTAAGAGCTTCCTTTACCTCCTTATCACGTATTTTTCGATAGAATGACAAATTTTGTTCTCCTTCACCAGTTACTAAATCCTCCAAGTTACTAGATGAATCCTCTCCATCATTGAAAAGTTTAGAAAAATAAGTCTCCCATCTATTTTTAATTTCATCATCTGTAACTAAAATTCTTCCCTCTTCATCCTTAATACACCTTACCTGTTCTAGATCTCTTGATTTTCTTTCCCTACTCTTGGCAATCTTATAAATATTTTGCTCTCCTTCCTTCGTCTCAAGGTTCTTATAAAATTCTTCAAAAGCTTTGGAACGAGCTTCACCCACAGCTCTCTTAGTTTCCTTCTTAGCCATACGGTACCTCTTCCAATTTTCTTCATTGTTACACAAATGTATGGCTTTAAAACAGTTCTTCTTATACTTGATTTTGTCCTGTACACTATTATTCCACCACCAAGACTCCTTATCTCTCGGACCAGAACCTTTCGATTCTCCCAAAACTACTTTTGCAACCTCCCGTATCTTTTTAGCCATATCCTCCCATATGATGTTAGCACTTCCCTGAGAATCCCAAATTCCTTTATTCAAAAGATTTCGCTTGAAAATATCTTGCTTCTCACCTTTTAATTGCCACCACCTAATCTTTGGTGTTACTACTTGTCGACATTTTTGGAAGACGGTTCTGTTCAATATAATAACACTGCTTTATGGGTCGTTCTTTTATGCTCAATCTCTGCTCGTCTTTTGTGCCACTGTGGTTGCCTTGTGATACTAATTATGCATCTGCTGTACTGCTATAGTATAGCCATCTGTCACTTAACAGCTCCGTTAAGTTGTTTCTCATAACTTGAGACGGGAGGACTAACGTCCTAAACGGTTTGAAATTTCAAGGATTCAAATCTAAAATTTAAACTAAAGCGACGAAGACCAAGTTTGACTGAAACTATGAGGATTAAAATCTTATTTTTCCCCATAAGAAATCACATTAACTCATTAAATATATTTTAAAATAAAATATTTTTAAATTTTATTTTTGTTAAAAATAAGAAGAGAAATTTAACTTTTAAATATAATTAAAATTAAAATTATTGTAATTGTTTGTTGATGTTTGCTTTTTTTTTTTCCAAATAAAGTCAAATATTATTAATACATAAACCGAGTTGGTGTTTGCCTCACTTTTAAAAATTTTTGTTAAAAACCTACTTGTGATTTAATATTTTGAAATTAACTGTTATGCTCATTGAATATAATGTCAATGTCCTTGTGGGTTTTACAAGGGGATGACTTAATTTCATGAAAGTAGATGAACTCTTGAAAATGAAGTTGATTTTTAGTAGGATTTAATTTTTAAAATTTTCTGTTTTTCCCCCTTAAAAAAAGCCCTTTTTTATATTATGTTTCGATGTCCAGTTTTTTTTTAAAAAAAAAATATTTCAATTTCCAGTTTAACCATGTTTTAACCTAACCAATCATAAAAACAGTTTTTAGTCCAAATCCATTCATTAATGACTCCAATTAATGATTCAATTGGTCCAACCGTCCAATCTGTTCTCAGAATCAAACTCAAAATTTCATTATAAATTAATTTAACTATATTAACCAATTAAACTAGGCACCTTTTAATACAGGAGAATATATATATATATATATATATATAAATCAAAAACAAATACACACCCACATACGCAACTTGTCATTTTTAAAAGGAAATTTTGGGAGTTTATAAGAAACAACAGCTTGTCTAAGACATTAATCAAAATTTTTCCTTTTTATCCTCATTAAAAATGAGTATTTATTAATGAGATCGATCAGTAAAAGCCACCAAGCAATTATTTTTGCATATTCATTGATTTCAACTAATTTCAACCGCATTTTTAAATCTAATGAATTAGTTATTTAACTCTTATAAATAAAATCAGAGGAAGTATTATTTAAGATAGGTGATATACATTACATGTAGTAATGCAACTTCCTATGAATTTTATAAATATTGATGATAAATCATGAAAATTATCCCTTTTCATCACGTTGTTCATGTCTAGTTTTTATTTTATTATTATTTTTAAATAAAACCTGTCACATTATGAAGTTGTCGATGGCTTCAACACTTCATTCCTCTACTAAGCCTATAATATATCACAAAACATAGCAAGAATCCCCTTTACCTAGGAACTTGTTTCTATGTTGTATATTGTTGGCTGAGAAACCTTGCTCTATACTAAGAAAACTATTATTATTATTATTATTATTATTATTATTATTATTTTAGAACTTTGAAAAATAAATTCCCCTCAATGTTTTTTTTATTGATCATTTTTAAATGTAGTATTAATAGCTTGGAAGCATCGGAAGAATTTGTGGCAGACATACATAACCCTGCAAATAATAGAGAGCACTGTGAATTCTCTGTTCCTCAAGATCAAGCAGAAATGAATCACACAAGCATACCAGGTAATTCCTTTTTTTTAATTTTATTAAGTAGCAAATAATCCAAATATTATGGTTGGTAATTTGCACAGTCAAAATATAACTTCAGATAATTAGGGATTTGGATAAGCACTTCTTGAACTGTTTTATTCTCCCATGTCATAGTTTGCTTTGTATAACAAACAGAATTAAGCCAAAATCACATAGCCAAAACCAGAAAATCAATGTCATATCACATGTCTTCACACACACGCAAGCACTAGTGAAGCAGATAGCAAGTTCTTTTTTTTTTTTTTTGTTGGCCAGAAAAAATTCTAGCAAGGTAGTTGTATTAGGATGTTGAACAAATCCAATGCAGAAATAGAATTTTCAATCCAATATTGTCAAGAAGATCATTCCATCTAATTTGATCATCCACTATACCAAATGAAATGACACCAATTTTTTAACCGAATTATATCAAATATTATATTTGGTTCTATTTATAAGTTATTTTAAGCATGGTTTACCGAAATTAAAAAAAAAATCTTAAATCTCATTACCTTTATCTAAAAATTTAATAAGTTTTCACTTTTATCCCTTAATAAAGACAAAAGAAACTATTTTTAATAATTTTTTTGAGTGTTTAATGAAGTTATGAAGGTCAAGATAAACATAAAAAATAGTGAAATACTCTGTAAATAGGATCACAATTAATCTTCTTTCTATACCCTATAAATAGGGCTAGAAGTATGACATATCACATGAAATAATCCAAATCCATCAAAATGAATAACTTCTTTGAAAGTCCTCGTATCTAAAGTATTGAAAACTAAATCGGTATATGAATCAGTGTTAATGGTTAAAAGCATGGTTAAACTCTGATCATGAACAAAGCATTTCATACTACCGGCCAAGTTGACTCAGTTTTCAATACTAACTTAGTTTGTTCTTCTGTTACCTTCTTGTCATCCAAAAGAACAACAAGCCAATGACAACAAACACGAAAATGAAGGATGTGAGGAGACAACGGAGGAGCAATTCAAGAACATGATTTGTGGAGGGTGCAAGAACAGAAGGCCAAGAATAGGATGGAAGAGGGAATTCACATATGCAGAGCTATATGCAGCAACAGATGGGTTTTCAATGAAGAACTTTCTGTCAGAAGGAGGGTGTGGTTCAGTGTACAAAGGACAAATTCATGGGATGAACATTGCTGTGAAGCAACACAGAATTAATGGAAACACTAACAACAACATGCAAGGAGACAAAGAGTTCAGGTCTGAGGTTGATGCACTGAGCAAAGTGAGGCATGAGAATGTTGTTGTCATGTTGGGATCTTGCTCTGAAGGAAATCATAGGCTTCTTGTCTATGAATTTGTCTGCAATGGTTCGCTTAACCAGCATTTACACCGTAAGACTCGAAAATATATATATATATATATATATATTAACTTCTTTGGTTATGCAGTAAGGTAATTTGGACAGTTTCACTGGTAAGAATAAGTATAACTCATTGACTAGAATTCGTCCCAGAGTACATTTTAGGGCACGTTTGCTTGATGGAAAAAAATGGATTAAAAAAATAATGATTGAAATACAAAGATCATAATGTGGAAAAGAGAAGCATCAAACATGTTTGTGAGGAAATAAATAATTTAATTTATAAGGTTGGAAATCATGATTCCTAAGGTTTATAATAGGTGTAGTTACTATTTTAAAGTATGTGGTAGAGTTTTTTTTAAAATTTTTATCATGAAAAATTAGATAATTTAGTTATTTTTGTTCTTATTTTTTTAATCAATCTCATTCAATTTATTTCCAACAAGCAAGCCCTTAAGATTTGAAATGAACTCAATATTCATAGCTTTTGAATAATGCCACTTACTACATGTCCTCATATTGTTTGAAATTATAAATTGTTAATATCAATATCAATATGTATGTTATATAAGGAACTAGGGGTTAATTAGGGAAATATATGGCAAGGAGAGGGTAGTTTAGGAATTTAGTGTAATATTTTGAGAAATAAAGGTAGCACAACCATATTAAGCGGTCTTGTAAAGTTAAATACAATTTCATTTACTATTTCCATTAATATCTTCAAAAATTATAAAAAGTTATATTATTTATAAGTCATGAACAATACGATTCATTTTGAGCTCAGTATATAATAGAAAATCAATTATTATTAGAAAATGTGATTTTTTTTTGACAATGTGACTAAATTGTTGAGTAAAAAGTAAAGAAGTCACACTATTTACAACCACAACCCATCTTGAACTCGTTGTAATTATAAAGAAAGACATTGTTGTAATTACAAAGAAAGACATTGTTGTAACCTCCTTGCTTCTTGTTGTTGTTGTTGATGATGATGATGACGATGATTTACAGAATGTGGGATTGGAATAATGCAGAACACTGTCGCAGAACTCTGAGCTGGGAGAACAGAATCAAAGTAGCAATGGGAGCTGCAAGAGGATTGCTATATCTGCATGACAACAACATCATTCACAGAGACATGACACCTAACAACATTCTTCTTACTCATGACTTTGAAACCCTGGTAATATAATACCAACTCCATCACTCTCACTTTCACATATATATAACGCGTTTTTTTTTTTTTGTTGGTAATGTGGAAAGTAATGATAAAAAGAAAATGAAACAGCTGGGAGATTTTGGGCTGGCAATTACAAGTGAAGAAGAGAGAGAGAGATCAGAAGAATGTGTAGGAGGAGATGAGGATTACGTGGCACCAGAATATGCAGAAGATGGGAAATTGTCAACAAAGACAGATGTTTACTCATTTGGGGTTGTTCTGTTGCAGCTCATCACTGGCATCAGAGCTACTGACAGAACAAGGCTTGGACCTACACGCAGCCTTGTGGAATGGGTCTGAGTCTTTTATTTTATTTTTTATTTATTTGTTTAATTCAATTAATTAATTAATTATTAAATATTTGTAACTCAGGCAAGACCATTTCTGAAAGAAAAGAAATGTGGGAGTGTGATAGATAAGAGGATAATGGAAGCTCATGATTGCCATCAGTTGTATTGGATGACTCGTCTTGCTCACTCTTGTCTCTCTCAGAATCCTCACAAGCGTTTGACCATGGCCCAGGTATGTCCCAAATTTTTTTCTCCAATCATGCGTTCATATTTGACTTAATCAACAAGATTGTGTCCACCAAAAATGACTAATCTCTTATAATATAATAAATTAAGGTTTGAATTTTTGTTTGTCGAGGATTACCTCAAATAGAAAGAAGTTGGCTTTTCTCCTTCTACGAATCCCTCCTCCTCTTAACTTTCCTACTATTGGATCTTGACTTCAATGGTTGAGATCTACTATATTATAAAATTATTAAATAAAATATTATCCTTATATGCAGGGCCCTTATTTTTGTATCAACGGAATGAGAGTTACATATAGGGTGGTTTTTCGAACAATATCATTATAAAAATGAAATAAATAAATAAATAAGAATAAAATTAATATATTTTTTACCATGAGAAAATTAATCTATTGGCCGCTATAATTCACATCAGTCTTTATACGTGGATTACGTGGGCCACTCACGAAGTGATATGTCAACAAATAAAAATTATTAGGATTAACTTTGGAGCATGATTAAAAAAAATTAATTTCCAGGTCTTCATAGTTTTCTTTAATTTTAAATTAGATTCATATAGTTTATATTGTTTTAATCGATCTTTTATAATTTGATTGATTAAGTATATTAGTTCTTGATTGTCATAAAATTTTGAGGTAAAGGGTAAGATCAAACAATGAAATTTTTTATAAATAAATTAAAGAAAATATAGTTTAAAAAACGAGTGATTATAATTTTTTTTTATTATTATTATATCAAGAAGCTTTCTTTTGGTTTAATATCGAGAAGCTTGGAACTCATTATTTATTTATTTTTTTTTGGTAATATTGGAACTCATTACTTTGTCTAGACTCTAGAACCAGAAAACGGTGAGCTCGGCTTTTATGATCTAGCCCATATAAGCTCAGGTATGGAAGTATTGTTATCCTAAAAACAATTAATTTTTTTAAATCTGATCTTTTTTTTTTTTAACCAAAGAAATCTGATCTTTATTGATAGTGTTTAGGGCAATGCCTGAAAATTCTTTTATTTTTAAATTTATTTTTTATTATTATATTCCATATTTATGTCCTGAATTACAAATTAAAATGTTCTAAAATTCAAAATAAATAATAAAAAACATAATTTTCAAGGTACAAGCACATATTAAGGTTTAAATTTAATTCAAATATACAAATGTTCATAATATTTTAGATCTAAAATAAATATAGGTATAAACAGGTTGCCCAAACCCGTTTTCTAATGATTTAAAAGGGTTGTACCCTTAAGCCTTTTTACATTAAGATATCTAATTTTCGAAGTCCAAACTAAAAAAGAAGAAGAAGAAGAAGCAGCAGCAGCTTAAACAGGTAGATCAATGAACCCATATTCCCAATCCTACTCTTGTCCACACTCCATCTCATTCTTGCCAGCTGAACTAGTCATAGGAGGTGGCATTTTGTCTGAGTTTTAAATGGTGAAACTTATTATGTATTTTAATTTTATACATTGATATAAATATTTTTTAATATTAAAATGAAATACTAAAATATTTGTGGAAATGAAAACAGGTGGTGGAAGCGTTGAGTCATATTGCAGAAGGATGCACATGCAGTGAAAAACTCAAGAACTGTGTTTCATCCTCCCACACACATTTATCATCATCGCTTCTCATCTCTGCCTCTTATGCAACGCAAACTCAAGGTTGAATCAATGCCATACTTTCCAAAGCTTCCCACAAGTCAACAATGACATAATATTCGTATTATTATAATTGGTACCAATTTGAATGAATGGTCTATATCTTAATAATTTCTCAATTACTTCAGTTTTCAGAGATAAATTTTAGTTTCTAGACATTTAATAACTCTGTCTAATAAGAATTATGCAACTATTTTCATCTTATCTTCTTATTTTTTTTAGTATTAGAATTATTTTATGAGTTCGCGTTGAAGCAGATCGCTTTTAGTTTTTTACCAATGAATTCCCACATGAAAAATTACCCCCCTTTTAGTCATATTGAAAGGATTTACTAGGTCTAGAGTTCGAGACTTTGTGCCTTTCAAATAATTGATCCCCATTAAATCCAGCAACATTCAAATCTAAAGTTAGTCATATTAAAAGTGAAAAAAGATCTTCTATTTGAACTCCTCTCATAAGGTTAGAAATAGTCACTTCTTAGCCTCAGCAAACTTTAACAATTGTACCATGAAAATTTAAATTATTTAATTTTCAATTCAAAATAAAATTTTAAAATATACCAAAATTCTTCATTTTCTGGGTTTGGCTAAAGAATCACATCGATGTTACACTAACAACTTGAACCAGCAAACACGGGCAAAGAAATGCAAGACTTGTTCCGCTATGCAGAAGCAGTGCAGCAACATTTCATGTCCAATGTTATTTTACAAATTACTCTCAAATTCTTCAAAAACAATTTCGAGCCCAACCAAGAGTTTCATTTCATGCCACAGTATACAAATACACGCAATACAGTAAGAATTCATGAAGCCACAAGCAAAGCAATGCATGCACAAGTCCATTAACCTAAGAATTCAATGCCATAAATCACATTCGTTCTAAGATCTTTCCGAATCAGGAGACCCCAAGACCTGACTGGCTACCTGCATTTAAAACTCAATGAGGATATGTAATCGATGGCAGATTTCGATCCAGACAATCCTACGGAAGATCAGACAGTTGGCAAACAGCAGGCATGTTATTCCAAGTGCAAGAATCAAAACCCCATACTTGACTCGGTGATGAGATTTCTGCAGATATGTGCTTGTAGTCAGTAGCGAAATCATCACCACCAAGAAGCGAGGTGATGGAATTGTTCATGTCACCCTGGTTCTTGGTAAATGCAGAGGCTTGGTCAAACCAATCTGAAGCGAGCAGAACATCTGGTCGGGGGATGTTTAACATTGACATGTCTTGATCTTCATTGCTGGGGGTCAAGGCCAGGTAAGAGGATCCAGATTTCAGAGTGTTTCCTGCAGAAAATGTAAGTTCAGTCCCACAAATTTCGCAAAATTTAAAAAACTAATTCAATCCAGACATATGATACAGGAACAAAAGTGGAAATTCACGCGTATCTCCATAAAAACAACGTAGAATAGAAAACTCATCGTTGGCATTAATCTAGCATTAGAAAAGAAAATGTTCTCAAGATCCAGCATGGGAAAGAACACTGCATCATGAAGTAAAAGTCAGTTTCATCAATTATTCAGAGACCAAGACTTGACGAATATATGTGGCACCTAGCCTAGTAAACTAGATAGAATTAACAAAAAAGAAAAAAAGAAAAATGCTTTTAGTTTATCTTGCTCCTGGCAGTGCCAAACGTGTGTGCCTGGTAGCATTGTATGTGAATGTGTCTAGCTATTCTAAGGTACTAACCATTAAAGGTCTGTGCAGGTTGCAGTTCATCTAACGAATTTCCATTGGCACTGACAGCGAGACACTCGTTCAAGATTGAGGTTGCCCCAAATGGAGAAACACAGTCGGCATAGTCTTCACATTCTGTCTCACACAAATACAAATTGGAACTGTCGGCTCTATCACCGGGAGTAGCAGTAGATGAATTTGAACTCTTATCAGAACAATGGATCTTTGAACTACTCAGATTCTTGGACTGATAAAGTAAAGCATCCAGGAGGCCACTGTTATATGGCGAGGAAGAATCTGACTCCAGTAATGTAGTTGGCAGGGGAGTACCTGTGAGAACATCAACTGATTCTACCAAAGGCCGCGGAGGAGATGTACCCCAGCTACCTAAATCAGTTTCTGGATATTGGAGTGAAGGGAGCTCCAGCTTCGCAGCCTCAAAAGTTGGCTTAGAAGTAGAGGAATTGCCATTCGAAAGGGAATGGCTGTAACACAGTGAGTTCTGTGAGGAGGGGCCAGGATCAAGGGGACAGTGGTATCCAAATGATTGTGCAATCTTATCATAAGTATAATCCTGACTATGGAGAAATGGATAAAAACCATTTCTGGGCACACCAGCTGAACTGCGAAATGGCATTGTTGAATCCTGAAAGCGCTTATGGTAAGGTAATGTTGATGGTGAAAAATTACAATGCTGGAAGAACCAAGACCTTTCAGCAGAATGTTATTAGCAGAAATGTCAGGAATCTCTGGCACATAAGGAAAGCCTCCCTGATTTGCGTTCAGCTTGTCAAATAGAGTATCATGTTTCTGATAACTATTTTCCCGCAGAAAATCATCGTGTCCTCTATCACCAATTTTCCCAGCAGTGCTTTGGACTTGTTGACTCTCTTTCGATTCTTGCAAACACACTTCAGGAGGATATAGAGGCAACCCAGCCCGCTGACGCCTCTTTATACGAGTATTCCAGTAGTTCTTTATCTCATTATCAGTACGACCAGGCAGCTAAAAGTAAAAGAAACTAATTAATTGAAAAGATTAAGAAAATGAATACACACTGAAACTGAAAACATGTTCGCAGTAGAAACTGATAGTTGTATCATCAAAATCATGGGTGATATGCAACACATGACTACCATACCTAAAACAATTTGACCAAAAAATTAGGCATTTTGAAACCAGGAAGAAAACATTAAATATGAAGGGGACATAATAAACCCATAAGTTTGGAGAGGGGAGAAGAGATATTACAAGTTACTAATCAACATGATAAACCCATAAGGTGACGTTGTAATCTGTAGATAACTGAAAATATGCATGCAGATTCAGAGAGAGATTTAGCGTCAGTTAAACAGAAATGTCACAGACCCAGAATGAGACAGTATATCATTAACCAAAATAGTATTCCAACTAAAATTACTTGTGTCAATTTTTACTCTTAATATTAATTTTGTCATTAAATTTAAACTCCATCAATTCAATAACTGCTTGTTTATTACAAGTACAATATTGAGAAAGGATTATTGTTACGCCATTACTAGAATACTAAAATAATAATTGCTAAAAAAAGTTAGCGCTAAAATGACACCAATAAATTTCACAGGTACTTGCCAAAAAAAGACCAAGAAGAAAGACTAAGTTAGATCATGTCATTCTTTCTCCAGTATCCAATGGAAAATATCATAAATATCTAATATAGAAAATTTTTCCTTCATAACTTACGAGAAAACATTTTATATAATATATCACAGTACATGTACTGAATATGCCACATAATCTGAAATTATCGTCACTTGTCAAGCTTGGCAAATTAGTAAACATCAATTTTTGTCCTTGTCAAGTACCCAACTCCAGGAACTCCAATGGCAATGCGACATGGGGAGCCTTACTACTATTTTTAAAACATGTTATTAAAACATGTTAAGTGCAACATCAATCTGTCAGGCAAGAACAATTTCTATTTAAAATTATCAATTAAAGGAATATGCATCAATGTTCAATCCTCAAATATACATGTTGATCTACTATATAGGCTGTAGAAGAATTTAACGGTTGCCACCTGAGATGCACATATTTTAAAGCATCATGCCAAATTACTAATTATAACTCCATGAACCCACATAATGACATCCAAACAGTTCAAAGTCCTTGTTTCCATGGAAGTCAGTGAGTCACAGAAAATAATTGCAATATAAAATAAACAATTATACTGAATATGTGAAGTTATTTTTAGAGGTATTACAAGATGACAAATAAATTGTGCTATACCCCATTGGTAAACATGGGCCTCTACATCGGCTACCAGAATATAATCACCCATATGCAGATTTTTGAAACTATCTGTTTTCTTGAATATTCCTGTGCTACTTGTTTGGTATCAAAAGATAGGTATCCAGATAACTTGCTCTGCATCGTTGGCGACAAAATAAAAAGTAATCTAATGGAAGTTTCATGCCAAAAGATACAAGAAAGATGTACGAACAGCGGCATCATTTACAGCAAATAGAAAACATATTTTCCAGAATTAGAAAATAATTAAAAAAAAAGGTACGATAACTAAATTGTATGGCAAGACAAATCTACAATATGCTTACATGTGCAGCCATGCGTGCCCATTTGTTTCCCATCTTGGCATGGAGTTCAGCAATCAACCGCTCTTCTTCTGCAGTAAAAGCCCCTTTCTTTAAATTTGGCCTCAAGTGATTTGCCCACCGCAGTCGGCAGCTTTTTCCACAACGGGACAGGCCTGAGTACTTCTGAACGGCATTCCAGTTCCCTTCCCCATGCTTCTTAACATAGTCCACCAAAATAGCATCTTCGGCAGATGTCCATGGACCTTTCTTCAGCATAACTCCACTGGCACTTCCTCCATTACCCTCATCATTCAACTGTGGTCCATTCTGATCATTGGGGAGCTCCCCATCTTCAACGTCATGTATCATTCGACTCATCCCTTGGACTAGTATTATGTAATCTCTGCCAAAAACTTTAAAACCACAAACACTTAAAAAGGGGTGCAGACCACGAAATTTCTTTTTGCTCTTAATTTTTTGGTTGGGAAAGGGGTGCAGACCACGAAAAGATACAAGCAGAATGATACTCAATGATTTAGATAATGAAAAAGAAAAAGGGAATTACTAGAGCCCTCAGAAGGAAAAAAGAATAAGTGGAAGCATCATAAAGCCAACCTCCTTTATCCTTTTAAAAAGTACAGATAACAGAAGGCAAGTAAAGCAGTATAAGAATTCAATAGCAGAGTTTGTACTTCAGCAAACAAAATGAGAAATTAATGATGATCTCCTGCGATCAGGAAGGCACCCCC